CCCCCCCCCCCCAAAAAAAAGTCAGTGGCTCCTGGTGAAATAATGGATCTGGGCGTCCACCAATGGCTGCTAAATCCATTGCTTGATGTGAAGAAGGAGCTTGGCTATTTACAATCACCAGGACATGGAAGCAACCTAAGTGCCCATCATCGGATGAGTGGATAAAGAAGATGTGGCACATATACACGATGGAATACTACTCAGCCGTATAAGGAAGCGAAATTGCGCTATTTGTAATGAGGTGGATGGACCTAGAGTCTGTCATACAGAGTGAAGTAAGTCAGAAAGAGAAAGACAAATACCGTATGCTAACACATATGTACAGAATCTAAAAAAAAAAAAAGGTCATGAAGAGCCTAGGGGTAAGACAGGAATAAAGACACAGACCTACTGGAGAACGGACTTGAGGATATGGGGAGGGGGAAGGGGGAGCTGGGACAAAGCGAGAGAGCGGCATGGACATATATACACTAGCAAACGTAAAATAGATAGCTAGTGGGAAGCAGCCGCATAGCACAGGGAGATCAGGTGCTTTGTGATCACCTGGAGGGGTGGGATAGGGAGGGTGGGAGGGAGGGAGACGCAAGAGGGAAGAGATATGGGAACATATGTATACGTAGAGCTGATTCACTTTGTTATAAAGCAGAAACTAACACACCATTGTAAAGCAATTATACTCCAATAAAGATAAAATTTTAAAAAAAAGGAAAAGAAGGAGGTTGGTAATGGCTGGGTCAGGCTGTCAACACCTGAGCCCACCAACCAATCTTAACATCACAGTAAGAGAGGTAAGCAGATGTGGAGGTACACAGTTTATAGAAAATACTGGGGATCGAGGAATGTGTTAGACAAGTCCATGGCAAAGCAACCAGCAAAATCAGAACATGGGAACTTCAAGACAAGTTATCCAGTTTCTTCAACAAATCCACGTCCAGAAAAAAAAGAGAGAGGAGAACGCATAAACGAAAGGAGACTTAAGAGCTGTATTAACGAAGCTCTGTGCATGGACGTTGGATCCTGATTTGAGCAAACCAACCAGCAGGAA